GGGCGGGGCAACAGGGGTGTCCCAGGGACACATTGCAGGTGTGGGGAGGGGCTGCTTGCTTCTCGGGTGGTCGCAGGGGAGAGCTCAGGACTTGTGGTCCATGGGGCAGCAGATGAATGAGTCAGGGGCACTGGAAAACGATGTGCTCCTCCTGGTAACCCCTCCAGTCTTGGATCATTCCAGTGACACTTACAAACACTATGAAGGAACTTCTCAGTGAAAACATTCAAAGAGCTGCGCTTTGTGCTGGGGCCACCTGAGACCAAACAAAGACTGTGGTGGATGGCATGCAGGAACCAGAGGCATGCATGCGCTGCTGACCTCTGGGTGACAGGTGGCCCCTGCAGGGTCCTTAGGGCCCAGCACCCTTCTGCCCATCCCTGCTCCGCCAACACTCACCTGGGCCCCTGGCCACCTCTCCATCTCCTCATTGTTCCTGAACACAATCTTGAGTGGCATTGATCCAACCATCCCTTTCTGGAATCTTCTTGCCAACTGCAAACCTCTGTACCCCTCTAGCACCCTTTGTCTATGCTGGGAACCCTGTCCTCGTGATCCCAGTAATGCCTCTCATTTACTGAGCATCTGTATTAACCATGAGGTTAGCGTGTATGACTTCTTTTCATGCTCACAAAGCTCCGTGAGTGCAGAGTTGCAATTGGGTAGGTGGGGTCCAGAGACGCTGATGGAGCCTCTTGCTCCGGCAGGGCTGAGGTTTGAGCCTGCACAGCGGTGACTCTAGAGCCTGTGCTTGCCCCGGTGCAGTGCCATCCCCCCTCGCCCTTCCTCAAGCCTGCCATTCACCACCTGGCCATTAAGGCACATATGTGCTCATGACCCTGTCTTCCCCGGCTCTGCGCAGCAAAGGACAGCTTGTCCCCCACACTGTGTCCCTAATCCAGGGGCAGCAGCTAAGCAGAGTTTCTTGCTCCCTGTGGGGATTTTTAGGTCAGCACTTGTGCTCCTCACAGGTCTCCTTTCTCCGTGTTTTGTGCCTTCTGTTTAAGCTCACCCTTTCCTGGTCCTGGCTGCTATCATCTAATCACCCCTGGGATGTGCTGCTTCCCCGAGGATTTCAGTATCAGTTTCGTAGTCTCTGGGGTCTCAGCATCCACACTGACCCTTCCAGGTCTTCTCATTTCTTCGACTTTCCTCACATGGCTCCTTGCTGTCCTGCTGACTGGCTCCCCTGAGTTTCTGACTGCCAGTCTTTCTCGCCTCCCTCAGAACCGCAAGCTGCCCTCTCCATGGGCTAGCCTAAAGTGTCCAGTTCAATGGCTTTTAAAAAGCATATTCATGGGTATGTGCAAGTATTCACATGGTTGATTTTAGAATATTTTCATCACCTCAAGAAGAGACTCTGTACCCTTTGGCCATCACTTTCCTACTCCCCCTGCCCCATACCAGCCCTAAGCAAGCACTGTCTCTATAGATTTCTCTGTTCTGGACATTTCATATGAATGACATCACACATACGATCTTTGGTGACTGGCTTCTTTCAGTTAGCATGATGTTTTCAAAGTTTATCCATGTTGTTGTGTGTTATCAGTCCTTCATTCCTTTTCATGGCTGAGTAGTACTCCACTATGTGGCTATACATTTTGTTCATTCATTCTTCACTGGATGGACATTTGTGTTGTTTCTTCCTTTCGGCTATTATGAATGCTGCTGCTATAATCATGTTTACATGTTTTTGCATGGACATGTCGTTTCATTTTTCTTGGGTGTATATACCTAGGAGTGGATTGCTGGGTCATATAACTCTGTGTTTAATTGTATGGGGAACTGTTTTCTCACTTGAGGAACTGTTTTTCTCACTGTTTTTTCACATGGGACTGTTTTCCCAAGTGGCTGCACATTTTGCACTCCCAACAGCATTGTACGAGTTCCAATTTCTCTGCATTCCTGTCAGTACCCTTGTGTCATTGACTTTCTGGTTCTAGCCATCTTGGTGAAGTGGTATTTCATTGTGGCTTTGATCTGCATCTCCCTGGTGACTAAAGACATTGAGCATCTTTTGATGTGCTTATTGGCCATCTACTAACAGTGGCTTTGACACTGGACCCTGAGCTTCAGTCTTTCCTCCTGTGAAATAGTATAACGACCATCCATGGAGCACAGTGGCAACACTGTGACTCTCTGGGCTGAGGACACATCTGACAACAAGTGATCCCACAGCCACTGGACCCAGGGACAGGCAGCCTCTGCAGCCGAGGGTCCTGTCCCTTTATGTCTCTGCTTCCAGTCTTTTCTCTGTTCTTCCTGCAGCCAGGCTTGGGATGCTGCATGGCCAGAGATGCTGTATCAGGAAACCTGCAGCAGGTAAAGGTTCTCCCAGCAAAGTTTTTGCAGAAAAGCAATGCACTAAGTGAACTGTTCTTCAAATGGTGTGAGCTGGGAGTGAGGTTTCTGGCTTTTCGGCACATAGGTGATGTTCTTGGGTGAATGACGTTCCCCCAAAAGATATGTTGAAGTCCTAAATCCCAGTGCCTCTGAATGTGACCTTAATTGGAAACAGAGTCTCTGCAGATGTAATCAGGGAAGATGAGGTCATACTGGAATAGGGTGGGCATTCATCTAATGACTGGTGTCCTCAGAAAACAAGGGAGATTTGGAGACAGACACACAGACAGGGAATGGCCATGTGACGGCGGAGTCAGAGACCGGAGTGATGCTGCCCACAAGCCAAGGGACGCCAAGGATGGCCACAGCCGTCAGGAGCCGCCAGGAGCTGGGAGAGGCCAGAAAGTCCCACTGGGCCTGCGGAGGGAGCGTGGCCTGGCCAACACACTGATTTCAAACCTCTCCAGAACTGTGACAGAACACACTCCCGTTGTTTTAAGCCACACAGTTTGTGGCTTAATTTGTGACTTTGTTAAGGCAGCAATAGAAAACTGACACTGGATAATGATGTTCAGGAATGATGTGGAGAGCCCTGGGGGTGGTTCTGTTCCATGCTTGTTGGATGCTTGGCATTTCTGGCAACCACCATATATTTACTGAGAATGGACTCTGCCCAGTGACAGAAAATGAGTATGCCCCTCGTTCCTTTCCTCAGCTTAGCATGGGAGACAGGAGGCAGGAATACAAGCAGCAGCTTCAGAGGCAACACCCGACAAGGCCAGGGTTGTTGGAGGTGTAGACTCCAGCTACACCCAAGCTGGGGCTGTGAATGCGGCCCCTGGTGCTCCCTCTGGTGCTCTCTGACAAATACAGCCCTGGGTGAGAAAACCTCAGGCCCCTCCCACTCAAATTCCGATTTGATTCTGGATCGCCAGTCTAATAGTTGTGATTATTTTCTCGCAAGGGTTACAGGAGACCTTCTGATTAAGGCAAACGTCTTGTACATCAAAAGCTGCTCACCGTCACCCCTGGGCTTACTATTAATCATTCTCTCTTACATCTGTTCCCAAAGGGCCTTCCTGGCACAGGCCAGCTGCTGGGCCCAAGTAATATGCTTTAATCAATGGTATTAAGCTTTTCCATGTTATGACATTTTAAGTAGATAATTAGACTCGAGTCACCAGGTGTCCAAGAGTTCGACTTTTGTATCTGGAAAATAAGTTTTGAAAACGCCCATCATGTACACATGTATGGGTATTTGTACTTCTACTGAAACCATCTGGCAACCCCGGTAAAATATAAAAGGGAATCTCTGATCTACAAGAAAAAACAAAGCTGGAGAGAAATGCAGGAGCTTTATTATAAATCATCAATATTCTTGAAGTTAACAACTGATACACTCACTTAGGCAAACAGTTTGGATTTAATGATCTAAAGGCCACAGATGCATGCCAGATCTAGCTAAAAGTACATAAAAAGCACACCTCTGGAAATCACAGCCCTCCCTCCGGCTGAAGACTGAGAAGCGTTCAGCATGCTTCTGGATTTCTGCAGCGGCAGGGGCAGGGGTCTGCACGGGCCTGACCTGGTGTTGCTGGAGCGCAGCATCCCCTCCTGGGTGCTACTCCAAAAGGCAGGCTGGGAGGTGCTTGCTGGGGTGTTCCATGGTAGCGCTGCTGACCAAGTTTGGGTCTCCAAAAGCCACCCTCAGTTTATACCAAACTGATGAGGAAACAGGTGGCGACAGGGTCTTGAAGGGTACACGCCGGCTTCCCTTAAGTTGATTAGATGGGAAACCAAACACTGCCTTTCAAGTGTGAGGCTGTGCTGTGCTCCCTCAGGGAGGATGGGCGCTGGGTCTGACCAGGTCTGCCTCTGCCCTCACCAGCAGGCAGATGTGAACAGAACAGTACCAGAAAGGCTGGTGGTTGGCAGGTGCTCACGGCATGGTTGCTGGCCTGCAGCAGATCGGCTGTGGGTGAGCAGGACAGTCAGGCCCTCCGCAAGCACCGTTCTGGAGTTTCGTCTGACTAGGCGAACCCTCTGGCTTTTCGGAGATGCAGGGTACTCTACTGCCACCAGCCAGTGAGCAGACTAGGACATCTCTAGACAGGAAATTCATCTAAAAATCGGAGGACAACGTGACGCACCCAAGTGACGACGGACCCAGGCAGCTGTGCACACAGGGTGGAAAGCATTTGGAATGGTTAGAACCATCAGTGGACAGGTTTTTCTAGCACAAATGGAATGTGGTGTCTCACGTCCCTAGGGAGACAAGGGGCAGGTTTCTTATCTGCTCTTTCCAAGCTTTCAACTCCCTGGCTCAAGTGTCCCAGAATGAAGTAGAAGTCTATTCCTCCACCCTGGTCCGTGGTCACTTCCAGACTCTGAAGTGGCTCAGGAGGTGATTCCTTAAGGCCAGCTTTGCTTGATCTCCTGGTGGAGCCTGTCTGGGCTGAGGCGATGCTGGGCTTGCCATGCCGAGATCTCATACCAGCAGTCCTCCCTCGGAGCTACCTGCCTCCAGCCTCATTTTTTGGCATGTTGACTCTTGGAATTGAGGAGCTATTTCTAATGTTGACTCTTGGAATTGAGGAGCTATTTCTAAGATGCATGCTTTTTTTTTTTTTTTTTTTTTTTTTTGAGACGGAGTCTCGCTCTGCTTTTTTGGCTTTTCTCATGGGTGCCTCCTCAGCCTGCACAGGATCCCCCATCTCACAAGGGAGGGAAATTTGGCGTTGCTCTTCCCTGCCTCTAACGGTCTTTCTGAGGGGCCGCCCAAACTCATTCCCTTAGTTCTTACTTTCCCGCAGGTGTTAAGATTTTACTGTCCCAATACTAAAAAGCATGCAATGGCTGAGCTTTTCCCCTAACCTTAATCTCATCCTCTCAAATGTGTGCCTTCTTGTTTTTAAGACCACAGACAAGGATGTCAGGCGACTGCTGAAATAGAACTAAAGCTAAAAGTTTTTCTCAGATCTTGGCAAATTCTGCTAATGGCACCTCTAGGGGCGCAATCATCCTCAAACGACATCCAACCGGACTCCCCATAAACAAGGTTTGGGCTGGAGCGGTTTCTAGTTTTTAATATGGAAATGTAAGGCAAAGGACAGAGCACTTGGTTTTGCCTTAGATTTCCCAGCAGAGCAGGATTTGGGAGAAAGTGCTGGTTTTCTCTGTCAGGGAAATACCAAGTACAGAAGAGCCGGGGCCGCGGGTGAGGCTGGTGGGGTCCAGGCTCACTTGCGTGGCTGCTGGATGTGCTGGGTTCTTGGGGAAGGATGCTTGTCCATGGAGGCATGCGGCTTCTGGTGAGCCACCTGCGCGGCCGCCGGGGGGAAATCTTTGTCACCCTGTCAGGATACACAGAAAGCTCAGGTTGATCAACAAGAAGCATGGGGTTCATGGATGAGGAAGCCCCAGGCCAGTGCCCACCAGCGTTTCTGCAGGATGCATGGGGTTCATGGGTGAGGCAGTCCCCAGGCCAGCACCCAACAGCATCTCTGCAGGAAGCAGTGGGTTTGTATGTGAGGAAGAGCCAGGTCAATGCCCACCCGCGTCCCTGCGGGATGCATGGGGTTCATGGGTGAGGCAGTCCCCAGGCCAGCACCCAACAGCATCTCTGCAGGAAGCAGTGGGTTTGTATGTGAGGAAGAGCCAGGTCAATGCCCACCAGCGTCCCTGTGGGAAGCATGCGGTTTGTATGTGAGGAAGCACCAGGCCAGCGCCCAACAGCATCTCTGCAGGAAGCATGGGATTCATGTGTGAGGAAGCCCCAGGCCAGCGCCCACCAGTGTCCGTGCAGGGCGGGCATGGACTGTGAATGGGTAAAGGAGGGTGGAAGCCTGTCCCCTCTGGGTGGTGGGGGGCCCAGGCCATCAGAACCGGGGAATGGCAGGTGGCACTGAGGCCCACACGCTGGCAGGACAGCAAGAATGCTCACTGGCTCTGCCCCATGCCGTGAGACACAGGAACACGCGACTCCCACAGAACTGACTTGGATGCCTGGGGCTTTCTTCTGCTACATTTGTATTTGTGACTATTTACATTGGGGGCAGGACAGAACCAAATCCAGGATCTTAAGTTCAGATGTGCCACCACAGCTGTGAGCTAGGCCTGGGGCGCTGGCCGGGAAGGAAATGCATACGGCGCCTACGAGACAGAGCCAGGTTCGGCCTGCCCAGTCTCATGAGGGACCCGCTATTTTCCAGAGGGATCAATGGGCTTCGTGCCAACTGTGGGTGTGGCCAGAGTGGGGCCCACACGATCAGGCTGGAGCCACACTTCTCTGGCTGGCAGGTTGGCTGGCTGTGGTCACAGCTCCACCAACAGTGGGCTATCCCCAACGCTGGCACTTTCTTCAGGCATCCTCTGATAAGAAAGTGAATGTCCTGAGAACAGCAGCCCTGTGGACGGCAATACTGTGGGGGTTTGCTGGCAGGGGTTCGCTGGTGGGGGTTCGCTGATGGTTTACTGGTGGGAGGCCTGCGCTTAAGTCACAATGTTGGGTCTCACCAAAGGGCGGCTCTGGAAAGGTAAAGGATGTGACCCAAACTGTGAGTCTGGCCTGGGGTCTGCAGAAGCACCCTCTGGGGAAATGTGGCAACCAAGAGAGCCATGGCCACAATTGAGATGAGCAGTGGTGCTGGGTTATTCCAGGTAGAGTTTAATAAAACCAGAAGGAACCAGGAGACTCCATGCTGCCATGCAAAGGCCTCAAACCCACTGCAGACACTCCCAGACTTACCCGGGCAATGACCCCAGAGATGAACACAGTGGGTTTAGGTGGACTGGAAAACAAGAAGGGAAAAGGCAGATTTAACAAAACAGTCCAAAAAAGGGGACACAGTGGCAGAGCCAGGCTGGAGGGCGTGGAGGCGGAATGGGGAGCGAACCTCTTCCTCTGCATTATTTGTTGTAATGACCACACTACGGGGCTCGGGAGCCTCCTTCTCCTGAGGCTAGTTCAGCCCCGAGTACGAGAGAGAAAGAGACTGCAGCCAACTGCAAGTGAATTGCCTACAAGCACTTTCTATTTGTAGTTTTTTTAGAGGCAGGGTCTCTGTCACCCAGGCTGAAATGCAGAGCCACGATCATAGCTCACAGCAGCCTCCACTCCTAGACTCAAGTGATCCTCTTGCCTCAGTCTCCCGAGTAGCTGGGACAACAGGCGTGCATCATCACACCCGGCTAATTGTTTTATCTTTGCGGAGGCAGGGTCTTGCTATGTTGCCCAAACTAGTCTTGAACTCCTGGTCTCAAGCCAACCTTCCACCTTGGCCTCCCAATGTGCTGGGATTACAGGCATGAGCCCCCGTGCCTAGCCTATTTTTGTTGTTTGGTTAAATCAACACTTTTAACTGTGGGCAAGCCCAATTCTTTTGATTTAATGAGATCATGAAACAGGCGCTTCGCTAAAGCAGGGGAGAAGTAGTTTTACATGGCGTGGACTTGGAGACTTTCTCACTGCCTCCTCAACCCTGGGCTTCCCCTTCCAGCATCCTCACAGGGCAGATTCCAGAGCCAACACAAACTTCCCATCCCCCATCAATCCCCGAGCATTACAAACATAAGGTCCTTGGGAAACTTGTCACCTCTTGACATGTTAACTCACACTGAGCTCACCACACTGTGGAGTACTGAGGGAACGGATACAGTATCAAAGCAATACAGCCCAGTGTGAAAAAACAGAGAAGCCCAAACAGGCTCAAATCACCAGCAGGTCCACCACCTGGAAACACGGCTGTTAACACGGCGCTATCCTTCCAGGCTTTCCTTCTATGCATAGATGTACGTGCTTGTCTTCTTCTTAACTTTTTTCTTACAAAAATAGTCACACTGTTTTGTAATCTGCCTTCTGAACTAAGACTATGGTAAGCATCTCTCCATGTAATTATATACTCTTCTGTACATTTATTTTTGATGGCTACATGTGCCAAAATTTAAAAACATCAGGACATAGTTTAAGGTAGTGGATAAGGTGTGTGCACTTCCAAAATGCCTCCACCAAGAGGTACAGGCACCCAAGAGCAGGAGGTGAATACAAGGTCAGCCCAGCTGGGACAGCACGATCGATCTGGAACACTCATGGAGGTGGGTGGAGAAGAAGCATCTCCCTCTTGGCTCAGTTTTGCTTAAGGCCAGCCCTGCTGGGCAGAGGGGGTAGAATTTATCCCTTGAGCTCCCCAGCCTGTCTCTTCCCAGCTCTACTTCTCCTCTGCTGCTGGTGGTCTTTTTAACTTGTCTTAGTTTTGTTTTGCTGCAGGCAAAAGTCCCAGCATTCAGAAAGTTCACTGACTGTTTACTTCCCCAAAGAGTTTACCAAAAGCACCTGAAATTCCCCCAAGTAATTTCTGTTACTTAGCGAGATTAAGAAATTTCAAGTTTTACGAAGCAGCACAGAGACACCCCATACATGACCTTGGTTTTATTTAGTGTTAGTTGTATGGTTACCAAGGTTGGATTTTCTTCCCCTTCCTTTACGTATATGATTTAGCTATAGGATTAATAGCCGGCCAGAGATGAGTAAGCTCAGCTCCAGTTTAAGCCCCACCACGTGGTATAACTGAATTCATTTTGATTCTTAAAGCATACCCTGCTGTGGTGCCTGATGCCGCTAACAGGGGAGGGCTTCCAGGGATTCAGGCCAAGGAGTTTGCATCCAAAGCTTGGGAACTGTGGTCTGAATTCTAACATTTTATAAAAGATTTGGAAAGGAATACAGAAATAGCAGTGCAAAGTTTCTTAAAGTCCTTTGGAATGTTCTTCTAAACATCTATGAACAGCCTTAAGCAGGGATGGCCCCACTCTGGTAGCAAATCATATACTATCATCTTCAACAAGGCACAGCCGTCTTTCCACAGCAGGAGCGCACAGTGGCTTTCACTGTCTCCATGTCTTACTTGCTTTTTAATCTGTCAAGGCTCTGAAAGGCGGAAATACAGGAGATCACCCCACTCCAGAAACTTGATAAAAATGTCATCCATAGAGAGTCAATCTAGTAAGAATACATGCATAATAAAGGGAATTAGCTTCCCCATCAAACTGAGCCCTAAAAGGTGGCTGAGGAAGCTTGAGTAATTATGTACATATATAGGTAAACACCCTCCCCTCTACACACACACACACACACACACACACACACACACAAGTACCTTGTTTTATGGCATCGGCTTATTGCAGTTCACAGGTAATGTGTTTCTTTAGGAATTGAAGGTTTGTGGCAACTCTGCATAAGCAGGTCTATGGGCGTCCATCTTCATTACTATTATGTCTGTTATGGTGCTCTGCGGTCATTGATCTTTGATGTTACTATTGTAATTGTTTTGGGGCACCACGAACTGTGCCCTTATAAGATGGTAAACTTAATCAACACTTGTCGCATGTGTTTTGACAGTTCTACTGACCAGCCATTCCCTGTCTCTCTCCTTCTCTTCAGGCCTTCCTACTCCCTGAGACATAGCAATATTGAAATTAGGACAACTAGCAACTCTACAATTGTCTACAATGGCCTAGAAGTGTTCAAGTGAAAGGAAGAGTCGCATGTCTGTCACTTTCAATCAAAAGCTAGAAGTGACCAAGCTTAGTGAGGAAGACAAGTCGAAAGCTCAGACAGGCTGGTCTCTTCTACCAAATAGCCAAGTTGTGAATGCAAAGGAAGAGTTCTTGGAGAAAATTAAAAATGCTACTCCAGTGAGCACTGGGGTGAGTGACAAGGAAGTAAAAGAGCATTATTGTGGATATGGAGAAAGTTCGAGTGGTCTGGATAGAAGACAAGCCACAACATTCCCTTAAGCCAAAGTCTAATCTAGAGCGAGGCCCTAACTCCCTTCAGTTCTATGAAGGCTAAGAGAGGTGAGGAAGCTGCAGAAGAAAAGCTGGAAACTAGCAGAGATTGGTTCATGAAGTTTAAGGAAAGAAGCCATCTCTAGAAGACAAAAATGCAAGGTGAAGCAGCAACTGCTGATGAAGAAGTTGCAGCAAGCTCTCTAGAAGATTTAGCTAAGATCATTGATGAAAGTGGCTACACTAAACAACAGATTTCCAATGTTGACAAAACAGCCTTTTATTGGAAAAAGATGTACTCTAGGACTTTCATAGCTAGAGAGGGGAGGTCAATGACTGGTTTCAAAGCTTCCAAGGACAGCCGACTCTTATTAGGAACTAATGCAGCTGATGACTTTAATTTGAAGCCAATGCTCATTTACCATTCCAAACATCCTAGGGCCCTTGGGAATTATGTAAAATCTACTGTGTGTGTGCTCTATACATGGGATGACAGAGCCTGGATGGCGGCACATCAGTTTACATCAAGGTTTACTGCTTATTTTAAGCCCACTGTTGAGACCTACTGCTCAAAAAAAAGATTCCTTTCGAAGTATTACTGCTGATTTATAATGCTCCTGGCCACCCAAGACCACGTATACAAGGAGAGGAGATTAATGTTGTTTTCATGTCTGTTAAGACAACATTCATTCTGCAACCCACGGATCAAGAAGTAATTTCAACTTTCAAGTCTTATTAAAGAAATAAGTAATTCCACTGGTGGATTTGGGCAAAGTAAATTGAAAACCTTCTGGAAAGAATTTAGATGCCACTAAGAACACTCATGATTCATGGGAGGAGGTCAAAATATCAACATTAACAGGAGTTTGGAAGAAGCTGATTCCAACCCTCATGGGTGACTTTGAAGGGGTTCAGGACTTCACTGGAGGAAGTAACTGCAGATGTGGTGAAAACAGCAAGAGAACGAGGATTAGAAGTGGACCTGAAGATGGAACTGAATGGCTGCAATCTAGTGATTAAACTCCTCAAGGATGAGGAGTTGCTTCTCATGGATGAGCAAAGAAAGTGGTTTCTTGAGCTGGAATCTACACCTGGTGAAGATGCTGTAAACACTGTTGAAATAACAAAAAAGGATATAGAATATTACATAAATTTAATTGATAAAGCAGTGGCAGGGTTTGAGATGACTGACTCCATTTTGGAAAGAAGTTCTACCATGGGTAAAATGCCATCAAACAGCATCGTATGCTGCAGAGAAATCTTTCCTGAAAGGAAGAGTTGATCTATCTCACAAACTTCATTGTTGTCTTTTTTTTTTGAGAGAGGGAGAGAGTCTTACTCTGTTGCCCAGGCTGGAATACAGTGGTGCGATGTCTGCTCACTGCAACCTCCACCTCCCAGGTTCAAAAGATTCTCATGCCTCAGCCTCCAGAGTAGCTGGGATTACAGGCGCACACCACCATGGCTGGCTAATTTTTATATTTTTAGTAGAGATGGGGTTTCACCATGTTTGCCAGGCTGGTCTTGAACTCCTGGCCTCAAGTGATCTACCCGCCTCGACCTCCCAAAGTGCTAGGATTGCAGGCGTGAACCACCACACCCGGCCTGTTGTCTTATTTTAAGAAACTGCCACAGCCACTTCAACCTTTAGTAACCACCAGCCCAATCAGTCAGCGGCCATCAACACTGAGGCAAGACCCTCCACCAGCAAAAAGACTGAGCCTCACTGAAGGCTCAGATGATCATCAGCATACATAATTTTTAATTGTTTTTTAATTTTAAATTAAGGTATGCACATTGCTTTTTAGATGTAATGCTAGACGTAATGCTACTGTACACTTAATAGGCTACAATGGAGTGTAAACAAAACTTTTATGTGCACTGTGAAACCAAAAAGTTTGTGGGACTCACTTTATCGCAATATTAGCTTTATTATGGTGGTCTGGAGCAGACCCTGCAATATCTCTGAGGTCTGCCTGTACATATTCATTATTGAAAAGCAGAC